GTTTAAGGTGTACGTATAACTTCTCAAAAAAATTTAATGGTCCACATGCACAGTCGTGTCGGAAGGGTACGGTGGGACTGTAGACATGTTACCTTCTAACACGTTATCAGGTGGAGAGTGTCTTGTACTCACGTTATCACTATATCAGGTCGAGAGCGTATTGGAGTCACTTTCTCTATTCCTGTACTTCATTACGTTTCAGGTGTACGTATAACTTTTCCAAAAAATTTAATGGTTCACGTCTTCAGATAGAGAGCGTATTGCACCCACTGTCTAGTCTCTGTAGTGCATTGAGATTTTGTTGATCGAACATGAAATGGATACACAGACAAGTACATGGCGAGATGTCGCCAGAAGAACGTCTTCAGGTAGAGAGCGTATTGCACCCACTGTCTAGTCGATTTTGTGGATCGCACATGAAATGGATACACAGACAAAGCAGGCCAAGTACATGAGAGAGTGGACGATGTGCAGATCGACACGGCCTGCGGGTACTTCATTAAAGTTACCCGTGACATAACTAGGATAAAAGTTAATCACTGCAAAAACATTGCCAAGTATGTGAGCACTTTGGACTTGACAGAAGAGTGCACGGGCGACGTTGACAAAACATACCGCGGTGACTGTCACTATCATGACAGCAGGGCACATCGCACGCAGCATCGCAGATCGTGTCGAATTGCGCATCATAATAATTGCAAAATTGCTCCTGTGCATGCAAGTGGATTTCATTGCACTTCTCAGTTTGGGAAATGCTCGATTATGACAATTCTCCGTGTGAGTGCACTAGCCCTGAACAGACATGTAGGTGAACCGTTTGTGGTGTCTCATAGCCTACCTCACGACCTTCTGCTTTCTTTCTTCATCACTTGTATCTTGCAGGTATATCATCCCGTGACGACCACATTGAAGTCTGAATTTGAAGTGTGAAGATGCTTCAGCAACCACATCGTACTTTTCCATTGCTTTCATTGTGCTTCTACTGTGCATGTGTGTAACTTGTGGGGTAAACATGTGATGACATTGTATGCTGGCGACACGGTCAGATGTTCATGCGTCTAACGTACACCTGCATGTTATGCATTGAAAAGGGTTTGCCACTTGCGATCCTGGGACGAGTATCAGGTCCGCTTTGTCCTGTGTGGGCTGTATCAGATTGCTGTTCACTTCTCTATCTGTTGGATATGTGACGTTCTGCAAGTTTCTGGTGTATGATGGCCACGTCCTTGCTTGTCACTTTGTATGATATTACATTCTGTATTCGCTGCTTCCATGGCATGGTCTGCAAACTGCAATCCTTGGGCAAATGTCATGTTTCGGCTATGTTGTGCTTTGGCCGTCAGCTTGTCTACACGCTGTAGTTGAATTATTTTTGTTTCACAACTGACTTCCTCAAGTACGGTGGCCACTGCTTTGCATGGCATTATACATGAAGAATTTCCTGTTTGTGTCGTGTGCATGTGCGTATGTGTGCGTGGCCACGTGTGTGTGCCGTGTGCATACACATGTTCGTGTATCTGTGTGCGAGGTAGCGAGGCGGGGAGGGCTGGTATGTATCAGTGTGTTATTGCAGTCGCATGGCTACATACAGTACATCGCGCGCGTGGTCATCATGTTTACCTTCGGGGTTGGGGTGGGGAGGGAACGGAAAAAGAGCTGAAATTATCCATATAAAAATCGCTCTGTGAGCGGTTCTGAAAAACCTTTACTGGTACTGCCCCGTCGTAAAAGTAAGAAATTAGAACTGGCCCATTGTCCCCCCAAATGCGAACTGATCCACCTAAATCGCGAATGACGGGACCCGAACGCACCAGTAGCACGAGGTTCCTAAATGTGGATGCAGATGGGGACGTTGGTCCGGACCATAGGCCATGTGCTGTACTAGCGGTAGGCTTCTCTATCAAAATAATAAATTATACTACTACTACTGGTGTTACCCTATGATAATTGCCGTGATCCTGTGCTCTCCCGACCTCGTGCTACTGGTGCGTTCGGGTCCCGTCATTCGCGATTTAGGTGGATCAGTTCGCATTTGGGGGGACAATGGGCCAGTTCTAATTTCTTACTTTTACGACGGGGCAGTACCAGTAAAGGTTTTTCAGAACCGCTCACAGAGCGATTTTTATATGGATAATGTAAATACACTGTATACGCGTATCGAGTAGACTCTACTACCAGCACAAGGCAGCAGTCGTACCACTCACTGCACTGCACTGCAGTACAACTACAACTAAGTACAAGTCAAGTCCAAAAGGAGCCGCCTGCGTCCGCAGACTCACGCCGCACAGCACGTAGACGTGGACGTGTTCAGTCCACGTACGTCAGTCACACGACAGCCCGCCGAAAAAAAGTTACGGTCGGGCTGAAATTGTACGGTCGGTCGGGTGAGTCGAACCACACACCTTCTTTAGTTTGGCCTAATATTATTATTAGTTTAGAAACCCACTTTTTACAGCATTGTGTACAAGCTTCACCAACTTGTTGCCCCCCCCCAAAAAAGCGGTGTGCCAAGGCCCATCGAGCACTCGGAAACTGTGATCGCATGCATGAGCAAACAGATATTAGCACTTTTTCAGCTAAAAAAGCTCAAAAGGGCGATATTCACCAAAAAACGCAATAAAGGGCGAAAGAACCGGGCCTTTTGAAAAAGGGGCAAAAGGGCGAAAAAAGGGCGAGCCCCTTTGGAAAGGGGCTACCAGGGAGTCGTATATACGACTCCCTGGTCAGAGCACATCACTGGGTGGTGGACCAAGAAAATCAGGGTACTAAACAGTTGATGTACAAAGTGAACGTACCGGTACACGTATAGAGTAAAACTTTAAAACAGTACTCACTACTCAATAGTGAAAAAGGAGAAGGACAAAATGTTACGAGTTATGACTAACTGTCCACCAACGTAGCCAGATCTTATAATTATAGTCAGCGAGTGCGACAAAATGGCACAAAACTGACAAGGAGTAGGACTACTGAGACATCCAGCGACCTGACACCTAGCTCCAACACTTCTCCAAGGCGCAAACCAACAACCTTCCAACTAATACTTGGAAGGCTCAGGTTTGGAAAGGTCCAAGAGGGGAAGGAAAGCGCAAAGAAGAAGAGCACGAGCTACGCATCACGGCAACAAACTCGGAATGCCGAAAGTTACTGGATGATGACGAAACTAGTAAGACTATTGGACATACCGGCCTTACTACAACTCGACGACGCAAAGCAACAGACCACCCAACTTGGGAGGCTCAAGTATTATTAACTAAACGTAGAAAGGGGAAGCCAAGCGAAGACAAATTGTAACAAACCGAAACGTCAACAACCTACTGAACTCCACTATCATGTATGATGGACTAGTTATGTACAATAACAAGTGGAGACGCTTCCTCGCCTTGGTTTAGACAAGCTCAGCCGCGACGCCAAACTATTTCGATTTCCTCTGCCGCTGCGAGTACGAGTAGACTCTACGACCCGTAGACCTACGACTACGAGTCGCTCGCACAACACGCTCTGGACAAGATCCGATCTCCTGTCGGTACGTATGCATTTTAGAGCACAGACGTCTAGACCTAAGTCCTTGCAAGTGCTAGCGCATATCAACAATCAACGAGTTGCTAAAACTACTTGTAAACGCAATGGGGAACGGGTCACTCGTTTTCGCTCTCATTCACGAGTCGCTAAAACTCCCTATCAATATCATACAACGAGGAAGTAAATACCGGTACCATGATATTTACGACCCACTCCATGCAGCCAACACAGACTCATAATCAGTCACACAGTCATCTGGTCTTCACTTCCGTTGTCGGTGAAAGACTTTTTATGCCTGATAGTGATAGCAGTGCAGTGACTGATGGTGCGAACCAGTTGCCTGGCCTTTGCCCGTTTGGTTGCACAGAGTCAGTGACTGTGTCGATATAGAGTAGGGTAGCGTAGAGAAGATGAGCGAAGCAGGCGCTGACCTCAACAAATATATTTTTGGTCAGCCGCAGATCATGCACTCAGCAAGGCTTCTGAGTGAAAATAGCCTTTTTCGGATCCACAGATGGAAACAGCTCGTGTATTCATGGTGTGGAAGTCCAGAAGCCACCTGCTCAGCTTTTACTAGTTATAGCAGGCAGAGATGGAAAGATGTTCTTTGTGACGGCAGCAGTGCAGCGCGCGCGCGCTGCTCAACGAAATATCGGTCACGGATATGCAGTCGTTACAATCTGCTGGTTACGGCTGAGCGAACTAGTTCATGGGTGAATGAACGGCGCAAGAAGACTACATCTGTCCAATGTCTTGTTTGATGTGTCGAAGAAGCAAGCCAGTTGTCTCGGCCGCAGAACAAGCGCCAACTTTACCAAGAAAAATGAATCCGGTTAGTGGAGGAGTTTTTTTCTCAGCCGATGCCTATCCTGTTTCCCACTGCAAACGCTGTTGTCATAACATTTCCAACACCTTTCTCTTGTATGTTGAAGGTGGTGTTCGTTGTCCAGCGAATTCTGCAGTGCCCGAGGACTAGGGTGACTCCAGAAAGAGCGAGCCACTATGGCGTGGCGGGCGGCAATGGTCCTAATTGCGTTCCTGGCACTGGCAGGTGAGTGAGCTGAGTGAGCTGAGTGAACTGTTCGTTTGTGACAACAAACCCCTCTCACATAATTCAATATGGAGTGAAATTTTTCATGCAGAGTCATAGGT